GCAGCCAACTATGCCGAGCATTGGTGCTCCCTGCTGAGGAAGACGGAGTCCCCCTTCGGCAGGTGTCACTCGGTTGTGGACCCGGCTGAGTACTACAAGGTGGGTGGGACCCGCACCTGCCCTCCCCAACCCCTGCTCCGTGACAGGAAGGTGTGCCCAGTGCGCCTGGCTGAGCCTGACTGGCTGCCTGTGAGGTTCTCGCTAGGGGCTGCTGAGTGTGTGTGCGTGTAAGCATGTGTGTGAGTGTGCATACACATATGTGTTTGTGTGCACACGTGTAAACAACATGTGTCTCTGCGCACCGTGTATGTGTACATGCATGTGTAGGCATGCATGTGTGAGTGTGTTATGTTTTTGGACCTGTGGAAGTGGGAGTTTAAGCGTGCTCACATGTGTATATGTGTGGGTGCACATATACTCGTGCGTGTCCAGGAGTGCTTGCACACGTGTGTGCGTCCCCAAGCCCAGCTCCCTCCCTCACTGCCCTGCCTCGGTTTACCCCCAGAGGTGCAAGTACGACACGTGCAACTGCCAGAACAACGAGGAGTGTCTGTGCGCCGCCCTGTCCTCCTACGCCCGTGCCTGTGCCGCCAAGGGCGTCACGCTGCGGGGCTGGCGGGAGAACGTCTGCAGTGAGTGCCGTCCCCTGCCGGCGTCCTGGGCTCGGGGTCCTGGCTTCTCCATGGGGCAGGGGACTGTCTTTGGCCTTCGATTCAGCCACTGTCCCCGGTGGCAGCTCACCCTGAGTCCAGGGAGAGGGATCGGTCCACCACAGGCAGGTGACACGGTTTCCAGCTTCCTCTACCCGGAAGGCGGGAAACCAGCAGTCGGCTGCTCCCTGCCAGCGGGGAGGGGTCCGAACTGTGGCCGCTGCCCATTTGCCTGGACAGAGAGGCATGTGGGGCGGGCCACCTGTGCAGCCAGGGCGACCCCAGGATGACAGCTCTGCTGGCCGCCTGCGGGGACGTGGCTGGGGCCGTCCCTTGCGCCCTCACGCTGGCCCTGCCCCTCTGCAGACAAGGACGTGGGCTCCTGCCCCAACTCGCAGATCTTCCTGTACAACCTGACCACCTGCCAGCAGACCTGCCGCTCGCTGTCCGAGGCCGACGCCCACTGCCTCCAGGGCTTCGCGCCCGTGGACGGCTGCGGCTGCCCCGACCGCACCTTCCTGGACGAGAAGGGCCGCTGTGTGCCCCTGGCTAAGTGCTCCTGCTACCACCGAGGCCTCTACCTGGAGGCGGGGGAGGTGGTCTTGAGGCAGGAGGAGCGGTGGTGAGTGGGCTGGGGCCAGGGAAGGAGGGCACGGGGGTGGGCAGGGCCAGCTCTACCTGGGGGAGCCCCCATCCCCGCCCCGCCCCACAGAGTCTCTGGGCCTGTCCCCAAAGGGCCCCGTTCACCTTCCCACTCTCCCTGCAGCGTGTGCCGCAACGGGAGGCTGCACTGCAATCCAGTCAAACTGATTGGCGAGGGTAAGTGAATGTGGCCTGAGGTCGGGCCTCCTGCCCCTTGCCCCTCAGCCTGCTCCCCCTACCCCCTCTCCTTCCTGCCTGAGCCCGCCAGCCGCCTACTTCAGCTGAGCTGGGGTGGCTCCTCTGTCTGCAGCCTGCAAAGCCCCAAAGATCCACATTGACTGCAACAACCAGACCGCGCTGACCATCCGGAACCCCCGCCCCCTCAGCTGCCAGACGCTGGCTGCAGGACACGTGCGTGCTGGGACTGCCATGGAGGGGAGGGTGCTGCCGGGGCAACCAGGGAGGAGAGGGCACAGCTGGGGTGGCTGTGGAGGGGAGGGTTCAGCCAAACTCCCACCCTGACCCTGAGGTGCTTTGCCATGTCCTGAGGACCCATGAGGCTCATTGACCCCTCCTGTCCCTGGGGCCTGGTGGCGGCCTGCAGGCTCCGCTTAGTCTGCTGGGGTCACAGGGCCAGTGTAGGGGCCCCTGGCAGGCAGCACTCACATGTCTCCCTGCCCAGTAGTGGAGGTGTCCAAGGAAGAAGGGCTCCAGGGGTGGGCCCGACAGAGGGATCAGGGGTCAAGTGGTGGAGGCGGGGGTGGGGGTGGGGGACACAAGAGGAGTCTGCAGTGTCAGAGGAGGGGTCAGGCAAGGGCAGCCAAGATCCCAGGCCTGGCATCTAATGCCTGAACCCCGCTCCGCCACCACCCCACAGTACCAGACAGAGTGTGTGAGCGGCTGCGTGTGCCCCGAGGGGCTGATCGACGACGGCCGAGGCGGCTGCGTTGTGGAGGAGGACTGCCCCTGTGTGCACAACAAGGGCTTCTTCTCCCGCGGGGACAAGATCAAGGTGGACTGCAACACCTGGTGAGTGGCCTGGCCTGGCTGCCCTTCAGTTGGAGCGTGTCCTGCAGGCCAGGCCAAGGGTTGGGGCTGTTTCCCGTAGGGCCAGCTAGGGCCAGCAGGGCCGCGTGGCACTCCACTTGCGGGCAAGACCCTGGCCGGGATCGGAGGGGCACTGGGGTGGCACTTGCTGGGCTGGTGTGGGTTGGCAGGCATCGTGTGTGAGCTGCCTGGGGAGGTGTCGGCACCGTGCCCCTGGCTCGGCCAAGCCACCCTCTGAGCAGGGCTGGGAGGCCCTGGGCCCTGTGGTGCCTCCAGGCCCCTCTCCTGCTCTCCTCAGCACCTGCCAGAGAGGACGCTGGGCGTGCACCCAGTCTGTGTGCCACGGCACCTGTGTCATCCATGGGAGCGGCCACTACATCACCTTTGATGGGAAGTACTACAACTTTGATGGAAACTGCTCCTACGTAGCCGTTCAGGTGAGGCAAGGGCACCGCCAAGGCCTGCACCTGCCCATGTCCATGCTCTGCCGGCCCTGAGCTGCTCTCAGTGGAGGCTCCTGCGGGTGTGAGGGGCCAGCCCTTCCTCCATGCTCCCATCCTGTGACCCTCCCTTGGGTGCATGGGGGGTGTGGGCGTGCATTGAGGGCTGTGCAAGGTTGGTGAGGTCCCACATGTGGCATGGTTATCCCCTCTTGACAGAGGAGGGGCTGAGGCTCAGCTGGGGTGGGGCTCCCAGTGGGGCACCTGTGGCCCAGCTGTCCTGGCTCACACTCTGCTGTGGGCCCCCAGGACTACTGCGGCCAGAACTCCTCGCTGGGCTCCTTCAGCATCATCACCGAAAATGTCCCGTGTGGCACCACGGGCGTCACCTGCTCCAAGGCCATCAAGATCTTCATCGGGGTGAGTGCTGCCCATCCCCAGGGATGTGAGGGTCCGTGGGGACCCTTGGACCTGGCCAGTGACCGGGCCTCTCCCCTGGGCACAGAGGACAGAGCTGAAGCTGGAGGACAAACACCGCGTGGTGATCCAGCGCGACGTGGGCCACCATGTGGCCTACACCACACGGGAGGTGGGCCAGTACCTGGTGGTGGAGGCCAGCATCGGCATCATCGTCATCTGGGACAAAAGGACCACCATCTTCATCAAGCTGGCCCCCTCCTACAAGGTACGCAGCCTCCCCTGCCCACCAGGCCTCTCCAGGGCTGGTCCTGCATGAATACTGGGCCTCCCAGGCACAGCGGGGCCGTACCTCTCCCTCCCTCGAGCCCACTCACGAAGCCCCCGGCTCACTGGTCTCCGCAGGGCACTGTGTGCGGCCTGTGTGGGAACTTCGACCAGCGCTCCAAGAATGACTTCACCACGCGGGACCACATGGTGGTGGAGAGCGAGCTGGACTTTGGGAACAGCTGGAAGGAGGCCCCCACCTGCCAGGACGTGAGCGCCACCCCCGAGCCGTGCACCCTGAAGCCACACCGCCGCTCCTGGGCCGAGAAGCAGTGCAGCATCATCAAGAGCCCGGTCTTCAGCGCCTGCCACAGCAAGGTGGGGTGGGGCGTGGCAGCAGGCACAGGAGAGGGTGGGCGCAGGCAGCATCTCCACGCCTGATGCACACACTGGGAGTGGCTCGGCTGCGTCACCTCCAGCTTCAGCACCATCCTCCATGTCCTTTGGACACACGACCAGAGGTCCAGCTTTCCCTCTGAGAACTCTGGCTGGACCCACAGCCTCCTGTACCTTCCAGGAGGGAGAAAGGACACACAGCCCCTAAGACCTGACGGTCCTCAGCTCCAGGCAGTGGGGGCGAGGGAGCAGGTGCAGGGTGGCCTGTCTCACGGCAGAAGACCCCGAGGCGCTGAGGGTCTGTGTGGCCAGAGTTGGCCAACCGTGTCTGGACCTCACCCGTCAGCGTCACTGGAGGCCTGGGAAGCTCGTGCTGGGTGACCGCCCCCTGTCCCAGGAGTGGGGCTGGTCCCTGGATCCTGAGGTCCTCTGGCCGCAGTGGGAGGCCTGGCCCCATGGATTAGCATGGGCCCAGGGCACATGGTGGCTTCTCCCCCAGGTGGACCCCACGCCCTTCTACGAGGCCTGTGTCTATGACTCGTGCTCCTGCGACTCGGGCGGCGACTGTGAGTGCTTCTGCTCCGCCGTGGCCGCCTACGCCCAGGAATGCACCAAGGAGGGGGCCTGCGTGTTCTGGAGGACGCCGGACCTGTGCCGTGAGTGTCCGCCCGTCCTGGGCCTGGGTGCCAGCGCGGTGGGTGGCACTCCTTACCCCTGCAAGGGATGGGGTGTATGTGGTCCCCTGCCCGCCTCCCCCAACCCAAGGATCCAAGTGTCCTTCCTCGGGGCCACTGTGCTGCCTGGGGTGGCAGGAGGGAGCTGGCCCCTCCCAGCCCATCCCCCCGACCTGGCCTCGGCACTCGCCGAGTCTGACCTCACCTCCCTCCTCCCCAGCCATATTCTGCGACTACTACAACCCCCCGCACGAGTGTGAGTGGCACTACGAGCCTTGTGGGCACCCCAGCTTGGAGACCTGCAGGACCATCAATGGCATCCACTCCAGCATCTCCATGTCCTACCTTGAGGGTGAGCAGGGCCTCCTGGGTGAGAGTGGCCTGCCCTGCCCTGCTGGCCTGGGGCTGCAGGACAGTCTCCTCTGGAGACCCTTGTGGTCACCCTGAGAGTGGCTCTGTGGGGGCTGGGGACCCCGAGTCTCAGGGTGGGCCAGGTTCAATTTCTGCAGAATCTGTTGATTGCACAGTGGGCTTGGAGACTGAGCTATGAACCTGCCCTCTCGGGGGGATGCAGAAAAGAAGCAGGTTAACAGGCACCGGGTGTTGCAGGGAGCAGAGAGTGCTATGGGACCTGCAGAGCAGGACGAGGGGGAGGGAGCTTTCAGAGGTGGGTCTGAGAGGCCTCTCCAGGGCCTTTGATCTGAGAGCCAGCGACATGAAGGACTGAGCTGTGAAGTCTGGGGAGGGAGCCCCTACCTCGTGGGAGGGACATCAGGTCAGGGGCCCAGGGTACAACCTGGAGGCTGGGCAGGGCCTGGCTGTCCCTCGGCAGGTGGGCAGGACCTAGTTGTCACTTTGGCCTTGTGGCAGTGTGCAGGGCCCAGCTGAGGGGATGCAGGTCCCTGCCTTCCCAGTCCCTGGCCTTTCCATAGGGACATCCTGCAGAGAAGGACTTGCCAGAGTGGGGCCCATGGGTGGGTTCTGGTGGACATGGGGTCCTCCACCATGGTCCAAGCCCTGTGACCTGTGCCCACTAGGCTGCTACCCCCGGTGCCCTAAGCACAGGCCCATCTATGACGAGGACCTGAAGAAGTGCGTCACAAGAGACAAATGTGGCTGCTATATCGAGGACACCCGCTACCCACCTGGAGCGTCCGTTCCCACGGATGACATCTGCCAGTCTTGGTACCTAGGCTCACATCATAGGGGAGGTCGTGGAGGGCAGAACACACAGAGACACACACGCACGTGCTCACACGCATGCGCCTGTGACATGGCCACACACACACAGGTGCATATGCACCTATGAGCATTCACATCCATGCACCCACGCACAGGCACACAAAGTGTTCACATACACAGAAGTGGACACAACACACATGCTCTCACATGCAAAGGCGCACACGCACACCCATGGGTGCACACGTGCATGGATGCATACGCGCATGCTTGCACACAGGAGCCAGGCTGTGGGGATCAGTCCCCTTCCCGGTGAGAGACGGGCCTTCCTTCTCTGCACTTCCTCCCTTCTGTGTCCGGCTTTTGCCTACCTCGCCTTGTACCCACTCTGTACAGTTAGAGCGCATGGCTCCCCTGGGGTGGGTGTTTGGGGCCGTGGCCTAGGCTTCTGGCCGGCCTCAGGGGGTGGCATCGGGGGTGTGGCATCAGGGGTGTGCACAGGGCGTGGGGCCTCCGGCGTGCAGGGAAGGTGGAGCCTGGGGGGAGAGGCGACTTTCCTCATTTTCTGGGGTCTGAAGCTGTAGCACTTGCCTTCCAGCATGTGCACCAAGTCCTCGAAGGTCATCTGCCAGCCCAAGGAAGGTAAGCTGCCCTCTGCGGCTGCCCCTGCGGTGGCAGGCCTGGCCCCACCCAGAAGAACAGGTGGCTGCCCTGTCCCTGGACCCTGGGCACTCAGTCTCCTCTTCCACCCCGTGGACCCTGGGGTCCCTTCCCGGCTCAGAGCTGCCTGCTGGGCAGCAGCCCCTTGGGGCTCACATCCTGATGCTCACCGTGGCAAATGCCCTCCTGTGACCCAGCTTCTCCATCCTGATGGGGGCCCTTAGGGTTCTGGGGAGGCATCCTGATGGGGCATTGTTTTGGGGCTTGCCAGAGACAGGGGACAGCCCTCCTTTCCCTTCTTAGGACAGGCCAAGGGGGACTTTGTGAGTCTTGCTCCCAAAGTGTTGACATCAGCCTCCCTCCCGTCCCCCAGGAAAGATTCTCAACTACACCCAGGATGGCTTCTTCTGCTACTGGGAGCTATGTGGCCCCAACGGGACGGTGGTGCACTTCAACATTTGTCACACTACCCAGGCACCCTCAACCTCCGCCAGCCTGAGCAGCACGACCCCTGTCCCCTCCACCACCGCCACCACCACCACCAGCACCACCACCACAACCACTGCAACCACCACCCCTGCCACAACCCCCACACCAGGGCCACCAACCCCGACTCCCAGCCCCACTACCACTGAGAACACAATCCCAAACACAACCACAGCAACAACCACCCGCCCCACCATGACCCCCACCCCAGATAGCCCAACCGGGACCACCACCACTACAACCACTGTGACCACAACACACACAACGAACCCGACCACGGGGACCACCACCATGACACCCAGCACTTCCACCACCCCCTCTACCACCTCCACAGAGACCTCCACCCCTGGGTCCACCACTACACCTACCACGTCCACGACCGTTTCCCCTACTACGTGTGACTGCAACTGGACTGGCTGGCTGGATTCTGGGAAACCAACCTTTAGCAAAACAGGTGGAGAAGTTGAACCCATTGGACACGTCTGTGGATCAGGCCGGGTAGCCGACATCTCCTGCAGAGCCACTAAGTTTCCAAACGCTCCCATCGAACAGCTTGGACAAAGGGTAGTGTGCAACACTTCAGTTGGACTGGTGTGCAAAAACCAAGACCAGAAGACCATCTTCAAGCATTACTGCCTCAACTATGAGATCAACGTCTACTGCTGTTCGTGTGCCTCGACGCCTACCCCCACCACCACAGAGACCTCAACCCCGACCCCCACCATGACCACCACCACCACAGAGACCTCCACCCCTACTCCCACCAGTACGCCTACCACGTCCACGACCGTTTCCCCTACTACGTGTGTGCCTGTCTGCGAATGGACTGGCTGGCTGGATTCTGGTAAACCAACCTTTAGCAAAACAGGTGGAGAAGTTGAACCCATTGGAGACGTCTGTGGATCAGGCCGGGTAGCCGACATCTCCTGCAGAGCCACTAAGTTTCCAAACGCTCCCATCGAACAGCTTGGACAAAGGGTAGTGTGCAACACTTCAGTTGGACTGGTGTGCAAAAACCAAGACCAGAAGACCATCTTCAAGCATTACTGCCTCAACTATGAGATCAACGTCTACTGCTGTTCGTGTGCCTCGACGCCTACCCCCACCACCACAGAGACCTCAACCCCGACCCCCACCATGACCACCACCACCACAGAGACCTCCACCCCTACTCCCACCAGTACGCCTACCACGTCCACGACCGTTTCCCCTACTACGTGTGTGCCTGTCTGCGAATGGACTGGCTGGCTGGATTCTGGTAAACCAACCTTTAGCAAAACAGGTGGAGAAGTTGAACCCATTGGACACGTCTGTGGATCAGGCTGGGTAGCCGACATCTCCTGCAGAGCCACTAAGTTTCCAAACGCTCCCATCGAACAGCTTGGACAAAGGGTAGTGTGCAACACTTCAGTTGGACTGGTGTGCAAAAACCAAGACCAGAAGACCATCTTCAAGCATTACTGCCTCAACTATGAGATCAACGTCTACTGCTGTTCGTGTGCCCCCATGCCTACCCCCACCACCACAGAGACCACAACCTCGACCCCGACCATCACCACCACCACCACAGACACCACAACCCCGACCCCCACCATCACCACCACCACCACAGACACCACAACCCCAACCCCCACCGTCACCACCACCACCAGCACCACCACAGACACCACAACTCCGACCCCTACCATCACCACCACCACCCCCACCACCACAGAGACCACAACCCCGACCCCCACCATCACCACCATCACCAGCACAGATACCTCAACCTCGACCCCCACAATCACCAACACCATGACCACAGAGACCACAACGCCCACCATGACCACCACCAAGATCCCTACACCAACCCACACCCTCACCACAACCTCCACAGAGACCTCCACCCCGACTCCTATCAGCACAGAAATCACTAGCACCACTGCTACTACCACCACTGAGACCCCTACCCCGACCTCGACCGCACCACAAACCACCAGCACCTCCACCACTAGCGTGCCCACTCCTACCCCGACCTCACTCAGCACCACAAGCACCATCGTCACCTCCAGCTTGACCACCCCCATCAAGTGTTTTCTGAACAACACGGCATTTCGCCCAGGTACACAGGCTGTTCCCTCCGACTCTCAGATGGTTGAGGCTGGTGGGACTTTGGCCTCTGCTTTTCCATGGGTAGGAGTCAGGTTTCAGGTCTAAACCGGGAGCTTGCTCGGGAAGCTGGGTGCCGCGTGGGGGGAGCTGATTCCGTGGCCAGCTCCACCTTGCTGCAGCCATGAGTCAAGGGGAGAGGGGATGGTGGGCTCCCCTCTGGTGGCGTGGGTGGGGACCTGCCTGTGCACACTGGCGGCCAGCCCTGCCTGGATGGCGTAGGCACTGGTCTCTCCCCCTGCAGGCGAGGTGGTGTACAACGGCACGTACGGGGACACCTGCTACTTCGTGAACTGCTCGCTGGATGGCTCCTTGCAGATCCTCAACTGGTCCTGCCCGTCCACCTCCTCCCCAACGCCCAGCACACCCACGCCAACGCCATCCACAATGTCAAGCATGCCAACCACCACCAGCATCAGCACCACCACCAGGGGGTGCCCCGACTTTGACCCTCCCAGAGAGGTCAGTGGGCTGTGGGCGGCTGTGTCCCTACCGTCCAGGCCTTCAATGCCCCAGGCGCTGCCTTCCTGCTGGTCACCCAAGACGCCACTGTCCCCCATGCCCTGCACCATCCCCAGTAGGGCTGCGGCTTCAAGCTGCCTTTCAGACACAAGGTCTGCCAGGGCACCCCGCTGTCTCACCCAGGCCCTTCTTGCTGCAACATGGTGGCCTTGAAGCCACCCTTGGCGTCCAGCCTCCTGGGGAGGGCTCTTAGGTACTCACCCAGGGGCCTCACAAGCAGGGGCCTCACAAGAGTGTCCTTGGTGGGCCGGGTGGTGGGGCTGGTCCCCCTGACCCTGCGCCCTCCCCGCCCTCAGGAGAACGAGACGTGGTGGCTCTGCAACTGCACCATGGCCACTTGCAAGCACGACAACACGGTGGAGATCGTGCAGGTGGAGTGCAAGCCCCCGCCCATGCCCACCTGCTCCAACAACCTCACGCCCGTGCGCGTCCCGGACCCCGACGGCTGCTGCTGGCACTGGGAGTGCGACTGTAAGCCCGCGCTGTGGCTGGAGCCTCCCCACCTCCTCCCTTCTATGGGCGGGGGCTTTGGGGCCTGAGGTCCTCGGGCGCAGACCCCAGGTTGGACGTGACGGCCTTGACAGCCGAGCTCACAAAGGGCCAAGCACACGTCCAGAGGGACTTCCCACAGCCCAGCTCATTCCTCATCTCCAGGGGGCTGGGCAGGGCTGGGGCGTGCCTGGTGGAGCACAGGGACCTCTGTGGTTAGAGGGGCAGAGCTGGACTTTGAATCTGTACCTTCTGGCTCCAAAGCCAGGCACCATCCTGCAGAAGGAACGGCCACTGAGGGCTGTGTGGGGAGATGCCTTGTGGGGGCTGGAAGAAGCTGACCCCCATCCTCCCCAGCCCGGATGCCCCGCATGTCCCAGACCAGACTTTGCGTGCACCTCAGTTACCCCCTGATGTTCCAGCCAGTCCCTGAGCTGCTGACTGCATCCTGTCCCCTCCCCCCCGGGTCCCCCTCCCTCTGCCCCCGGCTCACCCGGGCTCCCTCCACAGGCTACTGCACGGGCTGGGGGGACCCGCACTACACCACCTTCGACGGGCTCTACTACAGCTACCAGGGCAACTGCACGTACGTGCTGGTGGAGGAGGTCAACCCCACCGTGGACAACTTCGGGGTCTACATCGACAACTACCACTGCGATGTCACCGACCGAGTGTCCTGCCCCCGCACACTCATCGTGCGCCACGAGAGCCAGGAGGTGCAGCTCAGGACGGTGCAGATGCTGCCCCTGAAGGTGCAGGTATGCTGGCGGGCCCCACAGCCACGGCGGGGCACCCATACGGCTCCCTCCCTTGGCGGGGACTGGGCTGCACCCCCAGAGCTGGGCTGGGAGGGGGTCAGTGCTCATGGGACGCATGCAGCCCTTCTCACAGGGCCACCAGGGGCGTCAGGGACCCCTCAACCTCCCCTCTCCTGACCCCACCACCCGCCCTGAGCACAGGTGTCTGAGGCAGAAGCCCCCTCCCCAAGCACAGGTGCACACACCGCATGGAGTGGTTGGCTCCCATGGCCAGGGGAGCCCCACCCTCTGCACGGGGCCCAGAGTCTTGGGGTCCTCACCCCTGGGACAAGCCTGGACAAGTCTGCTTAGTGCACTGAAAAAGAACTGAGAAAGGGTGGGACCCCCATCACGCCATGTGATGAAGAGGGTGCTGTGGTCCCAGGCGCTCTCTGAAGGCACAGCCCACCCGCCCCGTCCCTCAGACACTCAAGGCTCCTTTGTCCAGGCGGCCAGGGCAGGGAAGGCCTCCCGCTGAGTGGGCAGCTTCTGCCCGGCTGGCCCTCTAACCCCAGGTGTGTCGGCCACAGGTGCAGGTCAACGAGCAGTCCGTGGCGCTGCCCTACAAGAAGTACGGGCTGCAGGTGTACAAGTCGGGCTTCAAGTACGTGGTGGACATCCCCGAGCTGGACGCCCTCATCTCCTACGACGGCCTCTCCTTCTCCATCAGGCTGCCTTACCGCCTGTTTGGCAACAACACCAAGGGCCAGTGTGGTGAGCCCCTGCCCCCTGCGGCTCCTGCGCCTTGCCCCTGGGAGGCCGGCGGGGAGTGGGCACCTGCCAGCCTGGATGAGGTCCTCCTCCTCTGCTTGGAGCCCCCATGGCCATCATCCCGGTTTTGTCCCTGTGGGACACCAATAGGAGTCTAGTCTAGTCTGTGCCCTCGGCGCTGGCCAGCTGGTCCCCAGAGGACCTGGGCAGGAGGAGGGGAGGGGTCCCAGGCGCTCACCGGGTCTGCTGGACAACATGGCCCTTCTCGCCAACCCAGGCACGTGCACCAACACCACCTCGGATGACTGCGTGCTGCCCAGTGGGGAGGTCATCTCCAACTGCGAGGTCGCAGCTGACCAGTGGGTGGTGGACGACCCCTCCAAGCCGCACTGTCCCCACTCCAGCTTCACCAGCCCACGCCCGTCCACCACGGCAGCCAGCAGCCGCACCCCCACACCCGAGGACTGTGATCCTTCCCTCTGCGAGCTCATCAAGGACAGGTGACCCTGCTCCCGGCCCATCTATGGCCTCGTCACTAGAGAGCTGCAGGGACTCAGGGAGCAGCCTCGCCTCTCTCTGCACCCCCTACCCCCGGGCCCTGTCTGCACAGAGGAGACGAGGCTGGGGGCCTGGTGTGGGGCTGGGAAAGTGAAGGCCTTAGGGCTCAGGCTCCTGATTTCTATGGGGCCGAGCTGCCTTGTCAGACACCCCCCTGCCTCTTTTGATTCCTGAATCTCTCCTGCCACCTGGGAGGTGCAGGATAGGCTGAGCTTGAAGCCTGGGGTTGATCAGTGGACCCAGGACGCAGCTAGCATTCAGGGCTGAACCAGGGAGGTAGATTGGGGTGTAGACAGAGAGGGGGCACCCTCAAAGCTGGCATCCATGGGAGCGAGCGCCTCGTGCCGAGAGGTATGCAAGTCAAGGCTGGGTGGCCCTCTGCCCGGGTTACTGGAGGTAGGATCCTGGGACCTGGTGGCCATTTAGATGTGGCGCCTTCATCTCTGAGAGCCTGGCCACACAGCCTCATCCTTGGGCCACTGTGCCGGCCCCCTTGGTGGGATGCAGGCTGAGCTCCAGGAGGGCAGCCCAGGCAGAGGGGCTGGGTGGCGGGCAGTGAGAGAGCCTGGTGGCACCGGCTGAAGCGTGACCCACACCCCTCCCCAACAGCTTGTTCACCGAGTGCCACGCCCTGGTGCCCCCCCAGCAGTACTATGACGCCTGCGTGTTCGACAGCTGCTTCGTGCCCAACTCAGGCCTGGAGTGCGCCAGCCTGCAGACATATGCGGCCCTCTGTGCCCACGAGGGCGTCTGCATCGACTGGCGGAACCACACCCAGGGGGCCTGCCGTAAGTGCCCAGTGTTTCAGCCCCTGGGCGAGGGTCCTGAAGAAGGGCTGGGGTGCCGGGGCTCTGCTGGGCACTGTGCCAGCTTGAACCCAGATCAGGATGTGGTGGCCAGGCCCCCATGGAGACAGGCTGAGCCTTGGGGTGGGGAAGAAGTGCAGGCTGGAGGGGCTGGGGGTGCTGGACGGACTGCAAGCCTTGCTAAACACCACTGGGCACCAGCCTCCTGCCTGGGGACAGCATGGGGGCCCAAGGCGGGCAGCAGCCGGCAGCTGGCCACCCTCAGCCAGTGTGGGAGGGTGGGTACTTTGTGGGAGGGGCTGGGCAGGACTGTCACTGGTCGGGGGGCAGGGGGATAGGTACAGGCTCCTCTGATGTCTCCGGCCCCTCGGACTGCTGCCTCTCTCCCACAGCGGTGACTTGCCCGTCTCACAGGGAGTACCGGGCCTGCGGTCCTGCCGAGGAGCCCACCTGCGGGTCCAGGTCAGCTGCTGGGAAATGTGTGGGCTTGGCCCCTGGGTGGTACTGTCTGGGCATGGTGCTCCAGCATGCCTGCTCCCCAGCCCGTCCACACCCCCATCTCACGAAGCCCCCCACCCCTCCAGCTCCTCGCCGCGGAAGGACACAGGCCTGGTGGAAGGCTGCTTCTGCCCTGAGGGCACCACCAGCTACGCCCCCGGCTTTGATGTCTGCGTGGAGTTCTGCGGTACGTTGCCTGCTCTCGGTGCCTCCCTCCTGCCTCTGCGAGGCTGAGCCTGGCTCCTGCGGCACCGGGACTCTGCTGACAGGATTCCTTTCCTCTCTCCTCCTAGGCTGTGTGGGACCTGATGACGTGCCCAGAAAGGTCGGCCTTCCTCCTTGGTGCTGGGGCGGGATTCTCCCACAAACCCTGAATTTTGTGGGGTGGGTGGGGTGGACTCGAGAACCTGGGAGCCTCAAAGACTGAGTAATGAGGCATTTAAGTCCTGGAAGGCTGAGCTAGCACGATATGCACCCACCCATCCATCTGTTCCCCTGTCGCTACCTCCACCCATCCCTCCATCTTCTGCCCCTCTATCCATTCTTCCATCTCCCGTCTCTCTGTCTGCCACCCCTCCATCCCTCTGTCTGACCCTCCATCCATCCCTCCATCCTTCTGTTCATCCCTCCATCCATCCATCCGTCTGTGTCTCCCTCCATCCAGCCAACCATCTGACCCTCTGTCTTTCCCTCCATTCTTCCATCCACATATCCTCCACCCATCCACACCACCCACCCATTGCTCATGCGATGCTCTGTCTGGACCTGAGATGATATCGTAGCCACTGCACTGTCATGTCTCCCACCCATGGTTGATTCCTTAGTTCTATGTTTCATCAACCCTCTAGACACCTGTGGTGTGTCTGCCCCGAGCCAGGCCCACGTGATTTAGGCAAATACTGGTGAGCAGGTCACGGTCGTGATATTAGTGGTGTGGCCCTGAATGAGGGCTTCTGTCCTGGGCCAGAACCTGCCCCGTGTGCTCAGAGGTGGGAGGGCACAGGTTTTCCCGCAGCCCCGGCCCGTGGCGAGGCCGCCGCTCCTCTCCCTGCTCACCTCCTTCCTCCTGCAGTTTGGGGAGCGCTTTGAGTTCGACTGTAAGGACTGCGTCTGCCTGGAGGGTGGAAGAGGCATCATCTGCCAGCCCAGGAAGTGCAGCCAGAAGCCCCTGCCTGAGTGCAAGGAGGACGGCACCTACCTGGTCACGGAGGTCAACCCCGATGACACCTGCTGCACCATCACCTCCTGCAGTAAGGCCACGCCTGGGGGAGGGGAGCCGAGCCTGGGTCCCTGGGCGCCTGTCCCCTCCTGGGTCCCCCGGATTCACCGAACAAGTTCCCCGTGATGATTTCACCTCCCTGGGGAGTTGGGGAGCAGCAGGCGCAGGGTGTGTCCCGCTGAGAGTAGGTGTTGTAGGAGGAGGCTGTGCTTGGGCCTGGAGGCTGTGCTCGTACCCACAGACACCCCAGGCCCCACCCTGTGCTGTGGGTAGTGGCGGGGCGCAGCCTTCAAGGAGCCCTCCTTATTATCGCTTTTCCTCCCCTCTTCAGAGTGCAATGCCAGCCTGTGCAGGGAGAAGCCCCCTGAGTGTTCCCTGGGATTCGAGCTGAAGAGCGAGATGTTGCCCGGAAGGTGCTGCCCCCTCTACTCGTGTGGTGAGTGGTGCCCAGGGGCCAGGGCTGGAGGAGGCCCTGGGGCTGGGGCTCGCTGTGCCTTGAGTGGGGAGGTGAGGTGAAGTGGCTCCTTCCTGGGGGGCCTCATTCTGCATGTCTGATGCCCCAACGCCGGCCCTGAGCTCCTGCCCCATCCACCAGCTGTGTGTGGCCTTGGGCCCGGCAGGGCAATCTGACTACGGCCCCCGTTCTTTCTCCCCAGTGCCCAAGAATGTGTGTGTTGTTGGGAATGCTGAGTACCAGGTGAGCCCTGGGCTGGGACAACGGTAGGTGGAGGTGGGGGAGGAGGGGTGGGATCCTGGGCAGGCTCTCTGGCCAGCTGGGATGCCTGTGAGGGCCTGCTCAGGGGGCTACTCTGTGCTAGCCAGGCACGGGGCACCCAGCTCCTGTCTCCCACTGTCAGAGCCTTCTGGGATGGGAGCTGCACTCCCCGAGGTGGGTGGGAGGTATGGAGGGTCACCCGGCCTCACTTGCCGCTCCCTGTGCCCTCAGCCTGGCTCTCCAGTCTACTCCTCCAAGTGCCAGGACTGCGTGTGCACCGGCAGCAGGAACAGCACCACGCAGCTCAACGTCATCTCCTGCACCCACGTGCCCTGCAGCACGTCCTGCAGCCCCGTAAGCAGCCGCCGCCCCATCACTTCCCTTCAGGAGTGGGGTTCCGGCTCCAACAGCTCCTGTCCTCTTTCCCTCGCCAACCTGAACCCTGTGTCTCGTAGGGCTACGGGCTCGTGGAGGCCCCTGGGGAGTGCTGCATGAAGTGTGAGCAGACCCACTGCATCATCAACCAGCCCAGCGGGCAGTACATCCTGAAGGTGCGCGAGTCCCCTGCTCAGGGCTGCTCACGCCAGGGCAGGGCCGGCCTGGGGCTGAGGGCACGGCCTGGGACAACTCCCGCTGCCCCTGGCTGAGTCCTCTGTGCCACTGTCCTGGGTGGCTGTGAGAAGGGACCACAGACTGGGGGCTGAAACAACAGGCAGGATTCCCCCACCCCCACCCCGCCCCATCCTGGAGACTGGAGTCTGAGGCCCAGGTGTGGGCAGGGCGGCGCTCCCTCTGGCCAAGGGAGGGTCCTTCCTGCCTCTTCCAGCTTCTGGGCTCCAGGCCTTCCTGGGCTTCTGGCTGCATCACTCCAGTATCTGCCTGTCTTCACACAACCCACTCCTCTGTCTCTGTGTCATTGGATTGTGGGCCCCCTCCAGTAGTCCAGGATGATCTCATCTCGAGATCTTAAGTACGGCTGTAAAGACCATTTTTCCAGAAAAGGTGACCTTTAGGAAGGGGACGCGTCTGTGGACTACAGGCTGGTGGCTGCCCCTTCCTGGGTGTCACCTTCCCTGTGACTCTGGGCCTGCAGGCTGGGCCTCCTGCCCAAGAATCCACAGTTGGCTGGCTGGTCAGGCACCTTCCAGGTGTTTCCAGTCTGTCTTTCTGGGTGGGCCTCTGAGGGTGGGCCTCCTGCGGGCCCTCACCACGCTGTCCTCTGCCCCACAGCCCGGGGACAGAAAGAGGGACCCCACCAACAACTGCACCTTCTTCAGCTGCATGAAAACCAACAACCAGTTCATCTCGTCCATCTCCAACATCACCTGCCCCGAATTTGACGCCAGCGCCTGCCTCCCGGTGAGCGAGCCCGGGGAGTGGGCGTCCCCTATTTTATGATGGGGCTGAAGCCCCAGTGCTGGGACAGTGGCCTCTGGCCTGGACCTCTTCTGCAGAAACATCCCCTTCCCACGCCTGTGGCCAGAGGAGGTGCTCACAGCTGGGGGAAGGTCTGGGGCGCATGCTCATCCTCCTTTCCTCCAGGGCTCCATCACGCTCATGCCCAACGGCTGCTGCAGGAAGTGTGAGTACAGAACGCTCGGTGGGCTGATCCCGGGGTCCGAGGCAGGGCCTGGTGGGTGGGCTAAACCCAGGCCGCCCTGTGGGGAGGAAGGCACGAGGGGATGGTGCCCTGGGAGCCCTGTCCCCTCTGTGTCCCTCTCAGCAGAGTGAGAAGTTTGAGGGCATCACCAGGGGTGCTCAGCTTGCTAGAGGGTGCCTGAGGGCCAGGCGAGGTGCACTTGGGGACGGGAGAGGAAGCAGTGAGGGAGACCTGGTGGGCCCCCTTGAAGTGTGGAGACCCCGCCTCAGAGCCTCCACCTCCTCACCTCCAGGCATCCTTCGCAATGAGACCAGGATCCCCTGCTCCACCATCCCCGTTACCAAGGAAATTTCACATGCCGGCTGCAGCAAGTTGGTGACCATGAACTACTGCTCCGGGTCATGCGGGACCTTCGCCATGTGAGTCCCAGGCCACGAGTGGCCAGGGTTGGGGGAGGGGAAGGGGAGGCTGCCCCCTCCAGGAGGGAGTGGCCCCTCACTGTGGCCCTCCCCCAGGTACTCTGCCGAGGCCCAGGCCCTGGACCACAGGTGCACCTGCTGCAAGGAGGGGCGCACGAGCCAGCGGAAGGTGGTGCTGGACTGTCCCCGCGGCGGCTCGCTGGACTACACCTACACGCACATCGAGAGCTGCCTGTGCCAGGACACCATGTGCGAGCTCCTGCCGCCCCAGGGCAGCACCCCCAGCCGTGTGCGGCGCTCTGGCCTCACGGCCCCGCCTCCGTGGAGGAGGTGAGCAGGGCAGGCGCGGCCACCCAGGCCCCACCCTCCACCATCCTCCTCATCGCCCTGCTGACCCTCTGAGCTTTCTCACCTCCTAAGCTGGTTTCCTCACTGGGAATACTTATTTTCCGAGCCTTTGTTCAATTCTTTGCTTTCCAAATAAACTTTGGCAAAGACGCCGTGTTGGTGTGCTTCCCTTCGTGCCAGGGAGCTGGGTGCGCCGCTGTGCACGAGCCGAGGTCTGGCTGCTTCCCGAGGGCCAGTGGCGGCAGATGAGCAGGGCCTGCTCAGCAGGCTCTGGATGGCACACGGGGGACATCTGCACTTAAGCCTTGCCTGGCTTTGGGCAAGTTCGTGTACAAATGTCACCACGTGACCACCTTCCCTAGAGTGGCCCCAGGGAGCTGTGCGCAGCCCTGTCCTGCTCTGAGCAAGTGCAAAGCCCTTGTTGGGCGTGACATGCAGGTGGTCCCCTTCCAGGAAGCCCCCTGACCCTGAATTTGTGAAAAGGACTCAGGTTCCTCTCCCAGCCGTTCCCAGGGCTTCCCCCTCGTGAGGACTTTGTCCAGCCCCCAGGGGCTGAGAGCTCTGGGCAAGAGCGTGCGTGTGCACGTGTGTGAGCACTGAGTGTTTGTGTCTGCGTGTGTGCAGTATGTCTCATGTGCCTCGCGGTGGCTGCACACGGGGAAAAACAAGGAGGTTCTCCGTCCACGCACCGGGGCCGCATGCCGACTCCTGCTGCAGAAAGTGACAAAAAGTGACCTCAGGGTCCTTGTGGGCTGCTGTGAAGCTGCTGGTAGAGGCGTCGGACCCTCCAGACCAAACTGAGAAGTTCTGGTGGGCTTTGTGGACCCAGCGGGAAGCCCGTCCTGTGTGTACGTGTGCACGCGGGCGAGTGACCCTGAACACACCTGCCGCACGTGGTTAGTGAACTGCCGGACCCGGGCCTCCTAAATCTGCGGAGCCGCCCAAGCTGGAATCCCCAGGGAGGGCGCTCCAATCCCCTTACGACTGTTCCCTTTACGACAGTTCCATTTACGGCCGAGCGCAGGCTGGCGTCCCTGGGCCGAGCTGTGGGGCCGGGAGAGCCCCTGCACCTCCTCTCTCAGCAGCAGCGCTCCGGCCTCCCTGGGGCGAGGGCAGGGCGCCCGGGGTCCCTGGGCCGAGGCCCGCGCGGTAAGCCAGCCTGTGGCGTCCTCGGCGGGCTGGGGGCCCGTCGGGTCCTCTGCTGCGTGGACGCCGGGCCCAGTGGGGTCCGTGTGGCGGTGGGGTGGGGCCCGCAGGGGTCGCGGCTGCTGGGCGCCCAGGGCGGCCCCGCACCCTGTGCTTCGTCCCGCTCACTGTCGCCTGGGTGCCGGGCAGAGGCCGCTGCCCGCCCCTAGCTGACCCCTCCGCCCCCGCCCCCTCCCCCTCCCCCGCCCGACCCCACCTGCCACCACGAGGGCTCTGATGGCCGGTGGGGCCACCCGGCACGTGAGCACCACCCGGGTCCTCCACCCGCGGGGCTGGGGGTCTGTCCATGTCCCCACCGGCCCGGGAGGGCCTCCGATGCTCCGGGCCCGCCCCTCGGGGGACCTCGGGAGCCCACACTGCCCCTGGCCCAGGCCTGTGGACTCCTAGCTGGTCAGCTCCTGGGCTGGCCCTGGAGCAACCAAGGCCCCCCCAGAGCAGAAGGTCTGTGAGGGGACACGGGCTGCCCTCTGCTGTGCTGCCCGGGGGTCCTGGGTGCTGTAGGGTGGCCGGGTGCCCCCCAGGGCTCTGGGCTGTTTCCGGGTCCCCCCATGAGGGCTGTGAGCTGCGCTCCTTACCGAGTGTGATGTCCCGTTGGCGTGAGCTGCGTCCCGGCCCGTCGTGGTGACTGTCACCTCTGCTCTTCGGCTGCTCCCTTCTGGGTTGGGCAGGCCCAGCACAGGCTGGGTGACCTGGGGAAGGGGTCGGGGGGCGTGGCCTGTGGCCTGGTCAGGAAGAAAGGTCAGGTCCAGACGGCTTCCTCATCTGCTCCCACCTCTGCACCTGTGAGGTGCGGGTTGGGTGACCAGGGGCAGGCGAGGGTGCAGCTGGGCCCGCCGCTCCTCCAGCTGCGCCCAGAGCCCCTGGTTTAGGCAGAGCAGCCCCAGGTTTGCTCTTTGACATGTTTCCATGATGTTCTCTTTGGAAACAGACTTTTGGCATAAAAATAGTGTGACAGCCACTGTCAGGTGGTCCCTGAGGCTGCTGCCCCCCACCCCCACTAGAGGAAACAGTGGGCGCTGCCCCCAGGTGTCCAGCAGGAGCAGGTCCCACAAGGCTGTGAGCGAGTGACGGAGTCTTCCCTAAGCAGTGGCCCAGGGCAGGTGGGTGGGGACTGGGGAGGGCTGCTCCTCTCTCAGGAGACCCTGTCTGCCCCACGCTGTCCCCTCATCTCCCTTTCTTGGGGGAACCTTCGCCGGTGTCTTAAGTCGGAAATGAGTCCAACATCATTTGTGCTAGAATCTGCTCTTGACCAGCTCTGAAGACCCCCCAGGACAGAGAGAGGCCCCTCCCTCCTCCCTCAGGCTTGTGACCCTGCAGAGTGACTGGGAGCCTCGAGTTTCCCATCTGCGAATGGGCACTTCCTCTCTCCATCCCACACATTTCCTTCCATGGGCCCTGCAGAGGCCATGCCTCCCTCTCCCCAGGTCCACCTGTCCAGGGGCCTCTACCTGGACACAGGACCCCCTTTACACATGAGCAGAATGAAGGAATTTTCCAGAGCCAAGGATAAATATTGCAGTCAGATCGGAAGTGCTTGCTGTGTCATAGATACGACATGTATGGAAGTAAATTCAACATTTTGCACCAGGACGTGGACAAGTGGAAAGCGAATCACTCCCACCCTAACAATGAGAAAAATCCAGATGAGCAAAACCCCACAACTTTCTTCTAATCCATCCAAGGCTGAGGCTGCAGGGCAACCAGGTTGCCTGAAATACAAGGACCCCCACTCCCCAGGAGAGGGACTTGTGTGCCGTGTCACCTGCACAGAACCCAGGGGGCGAGCAGAGAAATGAGCTGAAATGGAATGGACTGCTGAGGGCTGGGTGTGGCCCACAGCAAGAGGAGAGGAAGTTATTCAGGCAGAAGGAATATGACCCCAGACAAAAACTTGGATCTAAACAAAGAAATAAGGGCCTCTGAAAATGGTGAAAATGATGACAACTGCGAGACACCCATTCTTTAGTCATTTTAGAAGTTAATCACACAAAGAAAATTCCTAACTGTGTCATGGGATTCTAACACATGTGGAGGCAAAATGGCAGGTTGGGAAGGAGGAACTGGGGTAGCCCAGCCGTGATGTTCTCACACGATAAGTGAAATACTGTCTTATTTGAAAGTCTGTTATGATAAGTTACAGAAATATATTGTAAGCCATAGAACCACTCCAAAAACCTTTTTTAAAAGAAGCATAATTAATAAGCCAGTGGTGCAGATAGAATAGTAAAAAGTACTCATTTAAACAAAAAAGGCAGAAAAAGAAAAGTAGACTGTAGAATGAATATAAAACAACAAGATGGTAGATAAAAATCCAATATGTCAATAATTACATTAAACATATGTGGTATAAATACTTCAATTAAAAGACGGAGATAATCAGAGTGAATAAAAAAGCAAGGCAACTTGCATGCTGTGTACAAGAGGCTCACTTTAAATATTAAGACATAGACAGGTTAAAAAGAAAGGGATGGAGAAAGATTTACCATGCCCACAGAAATCAAGAGAAAGCTGGAGTGGCTATGTTAACATGAGACAAATTAGATTTCAGAGCAAGGAATATCGCCAGAGACAAAGAGGGATGTTACAGAATGATAAAGGTGTCAACTCAAGAAGAAAAAAGGACAATCCTAAATGTGTATGCACCTAACAAAAGAGATACAAAATCCAGGAAGCAAACATTGATGGAAATGAAAGGAGAAATACATAAATCCAAATATTGTTGGAAACTTCAACACCTTTCTCTGAGCAACCAACAGAATAAGAAAGGAGAAAAATCAGTAAGGACCTAGAAGACGTAAAACAAATGCTGTAACTTCATCTGATTGGCATAGAGTGTCCCACCTGACAACAGCAGAATGTCACGTTCTTTTCAAGTGCATGTGGAACATTCACAAAGATGGGCCATATTCTGGTCACAAGCCAAAACTCAGCGCATTTAAAAAAGTAAAAATCATACAAAGTGTGTTAGGTAACCACAATGGAATTCAACTAAATAGCAACAACAGAGAGATATCTGGAAAATTCCAAATAGTTGGAATTAAGACACACACTTCATGAATCACAGAGGATGCCATAAGAGAAATTAAGAAGTATTTTTAATAGAATAAAAAGAATAAAAATGGAATAAAAATGAAACCAGAGCATCTCAAAAATCATGAAATGCAGCTAAAGCATTTCTCAGGTGCACATTTATGAATTTGATTTTTATATTGGCAAAAAGGAAGTTCTTAAATCAATGATCTAAACTACATTAAGTAAAAGAGGAGAAAACAAAACTCAAAGCAAACAGAAAGAAGCAAATAATAAAGAGCATAAATAAATAAAATTTAAAATAAAAGAAGCAACCACAACAAAATCCCAATAGATCTAATTGATGAAACAAAACGTGGCTCTCTGAAGAGATTAAAAATAAAGTTGAGAGACCTGGGGCCAGCCGGGTGGTGTAGCGGTTAAGTTCACCTGCTCTGCTTCACTGCCTTGGGTTTGTGGGTTCAGATCCTGGGTGTGGCCCTACACACCACTCATCAAGCTGTGCTGTGGAGGCATCCCACATAGAAAGTAGAGGAAGATTGGCACAGATGTCAGCTCAGGGGCAATCTTCCCTCAAAAGAATGAAAACAAAACAAAAAATTGACCAACCTCCAGCAAGGCCGGTGATGAAAAAAGGGCAAAGACGTTAGTGATTAATATCAGGATGGAAAAAGACATAAGTATGAATCCTACAGACGTTATAAAGATAGTAAGGGAATATTCTGAACAACTTTATGCCAAGAAATTCAATAACTTAGATGAAGTAGACAAATTTCTTGAAGGAAACACATTAGCAAAACTTGCTCAAAAGAATCGAAAACTCAAACAGCCTGTATCGACTCTAGAAACCTAATCCATAATTTAAAAACCTTCCCAAAAGAAGACTCCAGGCAAATGGCTTTGCTGGTTAGTTTTAT